AAAGATTATTATTATTGTGATTATTATTATCATCTGCACCTCACACCACCAAGCTTTCAAAGGCAAGATAATTTGTAATTGCAAACGAAAATACAGGCAAGCGATATTTGACTGGAAGCTGTAGTTTACGGTGCTGAAACGCTACGGTAGATGGTTATCTAATCTCAGCCGCCTAAAAGTTGGTCCCATTTTCCCAGTGAGTTTAGTTTGGATGAATGTGCCTTGGAGTTAATGTTAACATTTTTCATCACTCTCTCGTGGTTGTGAACTGTGTCTGGAAGGAAATGATATAAATTTTGCAGGATATGCAAAAAAAACATAAGCACCGGTTGCCAGGCAACTGCAAGACTATTTTTAGTCATCAAATTTAGCAGGTTGATAAAAACATCCTTTATGTGCCGTTTTGAATGTTCTGGGAAGATAAAATGCAAATGAAGGGAATAAGTAAAATTTTAACTTACAGCCGCAGAAGATGTGCATTTAAAATAACACAAAATTGCTATTGTACGTAACCGGGAAACGCTGAATTTGAGAGCCAAGGTGCCTGTCACTCAGCTTTGTTTGCTTAGCGCAGGCTGGCTTTCATTAGTGCTCAGCTGGGAAATTTGAGCAGAACATTGACGGGAATTGGAGAAGAGGGGGTTAAAAGCTGTCAGGGTTATATTCCTCAGAGCACAGGAGGTTAAGGACTAATTTGATTGAGGTATTTAAAGTAATGAAAGGAACTGACAGATTGCATAGTGAATGACTCTTCCCTTTGGAAGAGGGATTCATTACCAGGAGGGCAGAGGCTTAAAATCAGAACAAAGAGTGTAGAACTGAGGTCAGCATTCCTTCACACAGAGGCTTGTGAAGATACGAACGCTCTATCCCTAGACAGCTGCAGGAGGTGGCATCAATGGGGATGTTTCGGAGAGAGATAAATCTTGGGTAGTAGAGGTTTGAAGGGATATAGTGAAAGGGAAAGGTCCTGTTTTCCTGTGCACCTATTCGGGCCACCAAATTCCACGTGAATTATGCTTCTTAGACAGTGTGTTGGAGAACGGGACAGGTATCTGTCCAAGTACAGCACAGAAGAAGCGTTGCCATTAACCCGAATTGGATTGATTCATTAGCATGGCACAGCACTGGGTTGTCACGCACTGCATTTTTGGATGAATAACGTGCTGAATGGGCAGACATTCTCATGACAGATGTTTCATTAAATTTGTAGTCTCGAGGCCCCTATCACACGTCAATGGGTAACTGTGTTGTGTGGTACTGAGCGCCCCATGGTCCAGGCAGGGTGAATCAGTGCTATATCTACGTTGGGAGCTCAGTTGGGTTGGAAGGGAGTCAATGGTGATGTCAATAATGTATGGATATCACGTGAGGGGCAGGTGGGGCTCCGTGGAACAATAATATACAGCAGTTAACGCTCAGACATGAAAATTAACCATGTGGATGAGAGACAATTGCAACTACATTTCAGGGTGAGTTATTGACTTCAAGATAGAAGAGGAGCATTTTTTAAAAAAAAAATCTTAATTAAGCTAAGGAATTCACAGACTAGAAGATCTAAGTTATCGATATACTGAGATCCGAAGCACAGTATCAAACTAAAGCTAAATAAATCCCGTGAGGCTCTTCCGTTTATCATAATCTTTTAATTGAAAAATTAGCTCAAATATATCCTGTTTAAATAGCAGAGGGATTGTTTAGGGGGTAAAGTTACTGAAGGAAAATCGGGTATTGTGGTATTGATGCAATGGATCGTTTCAAAGTGCTGAGCTCGCATTCAGGTTAAAAGGATATTGTGCACCTGGACCATCCAGAAGCAACTGTGTGGTGAATTCAGTTGTCGAAACATTTCAAAGCTGTACCGTGGCTTTTAGGCAAACCCATCTTGGGTTTGGGAACAGTAATGACCCATAATAATAATAATCCTTGTGCTTGATATAGCGCCTTATCAAGTCTTTGATACGTCTCCAAGGGCTTCACAGAATATACTATAAAGTGAATTGACTGTATATTTGTGGGCAAAACACGGCAGCCAATTGTGCACAGCAGCGTCCCACAAACAGTAGTGGATTGAGTGACCAAATTTTTTTTAAAGGAATTATTACCCCTACCAATCAACTGACAACCGAGTTCCTACTTACTGTTTAGTAAACAGAGACGTGTGGAGTAAGGAAACTTGCCCAGTGTTTTGCCCTGCTGGGAATCAAACCCAGGTCTCTTGCTTGCGAGGATTATAATGATAATCCTTGCATTTGCTGTAGAATATTATCACGTCGGAAAGAGGTCTCCAAGCACTTCACAGGATTTACTGTGAAATCAAGCGACTGTGTATTTGTAGACATTGAATGCTTCAGGAAACACCAAAAATGTCACCCCATTGCGTGAAATGAGTCTTTAGGAATATATGGGCTGAACTTCCAGTCAACTTTACTCACTGTTTATTGCGAATGGAAGATATCCCATTAGCGACTGATATCACCAAAGGTGTCTTGTGCAGAGTTGATTGCAGCCCAACACGTCGAGTCTTTTTTGGCTTGCCTGTTCTTTGCCTGGTGCAATATCCTTAAACTGCCACTGGATGTCTTTACAGCTATTTAAGACTCTCTACAAGGGCAATGCTCATCCAATGTCCGGTTCTTCGACCACTCGTTTCCTTCATTGTAGCAGAAAACCAGGACAATCATTTTGGGGTCAGTTCCTACTTTAGATGATTTTTCCACCGGGGCCAAGCACATTGATCTTAAGGGAATACGGTTTATTACACAGCAGAATGAGACACCACTAAGCTCCCAGCAACCAACGTCAAAGACAATGGGGGGATCAAAGACCGAAGGTAAAGACCTTAACAGACGGATATTAAACTTGACAAAATCCAGCAGGTTTTGTCATGCTCCATTGCTTTCAACAAGGGAATAAATCTACAGTTTGTATCCAGAGAAAAATCACAGCAGACTGCTATGAGATTTTACGGCTGGCACTGTGCTGGGGATTATGAGGCCACAATATCCAAAGCTAAAACGTAACTGTATTTAATCTCAGATTTCTAGAGGGGGGGGGGGGGGGAAATTACATCTTCAAAAACGGGTGTCCATGTGAAACATTTATTTATAATCGTGACAAAAGAATCTTATCTTTAATTATATATACTATAGAGCAGAAAATTGTTAACCCTCAACTGCAGGGACTTTCGTACTTGACCCATATGTCCCACATCATAATACCCTGCTTTTTTGTTTCTTTTAAGAAACTCCTAAAAAAAACAATTTTTGAAGTCGAGACTGAATTGAACGATTTGCCAAATTCTGGTTGCGTTAAAAATCTACAATTCTTTGTGGGACACTGCTGTGCTCAGTTGGCTGTCCTGTTTCACCCACAAAATCCACAGTGAATCCACTTTACTTTATATTCTGTGAAGCGCTTTGAGACATCTCAATGATGAGGAAACAGAGTTTATTTAATGACTATTTATTTAATAGGAGTCTTCATTTTCAATGCTCAGACACCACGTTAAGAAAATACCATCTAAGAAATATAGCACAAACTATTTCACCATCTCTCCCTCTATATTCTTTTGCAAATTCTGCATCACGTTGATTTTAACACTTGTACATTTCTCTCGAACACTCTACTCCCTTCAGGCGCTTTTATCTGTGTATTTTCACTCATTACCACCCTTTTAATCATAAATTGTGTCGTATGCATATCAGCTTTCACCTGATTCTTGCACTTACCTCTTTCTATGTTTCCATTCGCTTGTTTCATTATTGTTTTGTCAGCCTTTGCTACTACTTTGCAATTAAACCCTTGCCCTCTGTAACATCTGAAACTCAGCCAGAGGAACTGTTCAGAGAAGTAGTCGGATTAATATAAAAAAAATGAGGTGAATGGCTATTTCAGTCATTGTCTGTGGCCTTTTTAGTGTCTGTTTCTTTAAGGTGTATTTCTTTAAATTAATGTACAATTGCTGCACAGTGCTGCGGCAGAAAATGTGCAGAGTGCGAGCAGTGTAATAAGAAGATCGTAGATTCAAGCCCCAGGTCAGGACTTGTTATCAGATAGTCTGGGACCACACTGCTGGGGTGGGGTGGGGTGGGGGATTGCAATATTCGAGGTGCCGTCCTTCTGATGATATGTTAAACCGAGGGTCTATCTGCTTGTTCAGGTGGATGTTATAGAAGTATTCAAAAAGAGAAGGGAGTTTCTCCCAGTGTCCTGGCCAACAATTTCCCCCAAATAAAATTGGTCTCTCACTCTATGGCTGAATGTGGGACATTGCTGTGTGCAAGCTGGCTTCCGCGTTTCGCCCACAAAGTACACAGTCACTCCACTTTACAGTGTATCCTGCGAAGTGCTTTGAGACATCTCGCTGACATGATGATGTGCTCCATCAAATGCAAGGATTGTCATTATTATATCTTCCACGCACCCTTACTTGCTCAGTTTAACATCTCCTCCAAAGGACGGCAAATCCTGACAACGCTGCTTTCTTCCCAAGACTGGGCTGGGAGGAGATTAGGAGTGGAAACACCGTAGATTATTTTATCCCCTTCATTTAGCCTTTGAGCCATTGGTGGGGCTGTAACAAGTTAAGATGGGTTGTCCTCTTGAGGTTCAGTATTTCCAAACAATTAGCGTTTTTTTTAAAAAAAGAAATGCTTACAGCGGGGAGGGAGGAAGTAGGGTGAGGGGAATAGAAGCATATGGGAGGGAGTAAGGAATGGGTGACGATTCCTGCAGAGTATAAACACTGGCAAGGACTCGTTGAGTCGAGTGGCCTGTTTCTGTGCTGTACGGCCTTTGTAAATCTTTGTTTGAAAAAAATAAAATAAAAATGTGCGTCCAAATGATTTTTTACCCATATTTTCTGCCCATCAGCATCCGCCTCTGCTCCTCGTCCCCGTTATTTCGATGGCGGGTCATACAACCAGATCTCCACATTGTTGTTTGTGAAGAAGCAACTCACTCACGTCCACTTTTTATTTGTTCTTGTTTGGGGGCAGGAGATGGAAGAGATTTCACCTGATCTAAGGAAAAAGCCCAAAGACGTAAAGGAATATGCTGAGAAGACAAGACAGGTAAGGACATCTTTCTGCAGTACCAAAGCGCTAGCCCTTCAGATTATTACTATCCTGACTGTCGTTGTGATTTGAATCAACTGCCAGATTTTGCTGTAAAATAGCAAAATAAAATTCCCCGTCTAACATAGTTTCCTTACACTCGTGGATGTTGAGGTCCATTTTCCCAATGTGAAATCATTTCTTCCAGTTAAAAATCACGTTGCGATCCATTTCCGACCAACGTAAACGCAAAGAAACATTTTCTAAATGATACCACACCATCGATGCTCTGATTAGAATGCTATTCCCACGGTGCACAAATTGATATAGGAATTGATATCACTGTCTCTATCACATGATGCAACTCGCTTGCTTGATTTTGCCAAGAAATGCACAGTCACTACATTTTACAGTCAATCCTGTGAAGGAAGCGTTTTGAGATATTTCGATGGTGTGATGAGACTCTAGAATTATTGTTATAAGTTAAACTTCTGAACCTTTTTTTCAGAAAGCCTCGTCTTTAACTAAAGTTAACGTGAGTGAAGCTTGTATTGGCTGCCCACTTGATTGATATTCACATGGCAAACTTTTATCACAAACAAACCAATTAGAGAAATAGATAATCAAGTACAATTGGCCTCCTCAAGCAGTAAATTACTGTAATGAATTAGACCTAATGTATTGCATGTTATATTCACCTTTATTAGTGTGCAACTAAAACAAATTTCCTTTTACTGTCAGTATATTCAGAGCTTATAGCACTAAATTTTACGAGCAAGAAATTATCCTCCCGAAATTCAATTACAGTAGCACCTCCTGTGATTTCTTAGTCATTTTGAATCTTCTTTGTAAATGATTTTTCTCATCAAAAATCAGAACAACCCCCCATTAGTAATTTAGATTAATTATTATGACTTAATCTGTCCCAGCGGAACCTTTTGAATGAATTCATTATAAATATCAACAAAATGGTGTTAGTTTTCCCCTGTTGCCATTATGACAACATTAAAACTGCAATAACTCATATTTGAAAAGTTAATTCCAAGGAAGATGCCTATATAAAACATTTAATTAAATGTTGAAATAAATTGCATGTGTTAAAACAGATGGTTTTGAATCAGGCAGCTGTAAGCCCTGGATATAACAAGGGATGAAACTGGGAAAACCCGTGATTAGATAAAGATGTAATGCGAAATGAAGTCTAATCGTATTTCATTGAGAGAACTTTGACATGCAAGTGCATGGAGACCGCATAGCAAAGCAAAGGGATTAAACCTGTTACTGCACTGAGAGTGCTGCAGTCAGATGTGTGACAATTCAAAGATTTGCGCAATGAATTGAAGCAGAATCAGCCCTCTCCCACCCTTACTCCATGCGTGTCTCAATAGGGAGGTGGGAGAATAATAATAATAATATTAATAATAATTCTTGTATTTCATATAGCGCCTTATCAGGTCGTTGAGATGTCTTAAAGCGCTTCACTGGATAACTGTAAAGTGGATTGACTGTGTATTTTGTGGGCGAAATGCACTCAACATTCAGACTGTGGCCTTTGGCTACTGGTCGGGGGATTTTGGCTTCGTAGTGAGTCGAAAGAGATAGAAGCTCAGCCTCTAAATCCACAAGTGAGAAGAACATCAGCAAGTCCATCTCCTTCCCCATTGTCTGTGATAATAATAATAATCCTTGCATTTGATAACAGCTCCTTATCACGTCTTCGTGACATCTCAAAGCGCTTTACAACAAAGCGCTTTACTGTAAAACAAATTGACTGTATATTTTGTGAGTGAAACGCGGCAGCCAATTGTGTACAGCAGTGTCTCCCAAACAGTCTTGGATTGAGTGAACAAATTATTATTGTTATTTTTGGAAGGGATTATTATCCCTGGAAAAGCGATCTGCCAAACGACTAACAACTGGGTTCCTATTTACTGCGAGGTAAACAGAGGCGTGAGGAGTAAGGAAACTTGCCTAATGTTTCACCCTGCCGGGAATCGAACCCAGGTCCTCTCGCTTGCGAGATGAGTGCTCTAACCACTGAGCTACAGAAATTCTGTTTTGTCCATGTGTTGAGTACCACATGGACCACATATTTCACCACATTGTGTGTCAGGCAATCGGTTTAGCAAACTGCCTCGATTCCCAGTGAATTTCTTCACACATAGCAACTAAAATTCACAAAGAGCACATCTCACTAAATGTGAACTCCCTTTTGTGAAATGTTCCCTAATAATAATAATAATAATAATCCTTGCATTTGATATAGTGCTTTTCACGTCGGGAGGACGTCCCAAAGCGCTTCACAGAATACACTGTAAAGTGAATTGACTGTATATTTGTGGGCGAACGCGGCAGCCAATTGCGCACAGCAATGTCCCACAAACAGTCGTAGATTAAAAATGACCAATTTTTATTATTGTTTTTGGTTTGGAGGGATTATTATTAGGCTCTGTGTGGAGTAAGGAAACTTGCCCAAGGTTTCGCCCTCTGCCTGGAATTGAACTCAGGTCTCTCGCTTGCAAAGCGAGTGCTCTAACCACTGAGCTACAGGACTCCACAAGAGACTTAAGTTGCTCACTTAAAAAACTCTACTGTGATTTTCCTCCACTTGTTTCCCGACTGGGTTTCTGGTATCTGGGTGATGGGCAGAGCCGGGAGGAGAGAGGAACACAATGGATATTCCGGGAAATGGATCAATAGTCTTTGTTCACTTCACTTCATTGGAACAGAGAAGGTTGATAGGGATTTCTGCAAACATTCTATGTTTCTATATCGACCAGAAATAAGCAGTCAATTCACTTTACAGTATATTCTGTGAAGCGCTTTCAGACGTTTCAAAGAAGTGATAAGGCGCTATATCAAATGCAGGGATTATTATTTTAAATATTATAAATATGTTAGAAAACCAAATTATTTTGAACTGCCAAAGTCACCAAATCATGTCTATTTATTCCCTGCTCTTAAAAATAGTTGCAGAATGAATGCAAGTAAAAAATCGACAGTTTTTTGTTTACTGGACTGGTTATACAAATCTTGCTGGGGATTGTTTTTTAAAAAAACATTGCTGAAAGTCACAGACAAAGTGATGAGTCCAACTTTCCTCTTTCCTGCAGAAAGTTGTGTGAGGATAAATAGCCTCCAAGGAACCAAATGAGAAGAGTGTATATTTAAACTATCCATTAGGCACTAGCCTGGGGTTTGTTGTGGCTTGGCAGTAGCAGGTTTACTGCGAGAACCGGATCTATTACTGCACATTGTTGTCCCCCCCCCAACCCCCCCACCCCCCAACCCCCCACTGCCTGGATCTTGTATCATTAATTGTCATGTGTGAATATTTAAACTCTGTCTGGCAGCCATCGAGGGGAGTGACAGCCATTCTTCACAGGCAAACCACAATACAGAAAGTTGTGGCTGCATTTCAAATTTTGATGGTGTGTTTGTCTCCAGTGCCATTTGACCACATCACTGTAATTGGGCACGGCTGAGGACAGCAATCCTGACAGCTTCTGGCAGCAAAGCGTGGTTTGTTTCTTCATGTCATTTAAAACACAAGGAAATGACGCCAACTTTGATCTTGCCTTGTTTCAGTCCATCTCCTGAAAAGATGGGGTGATTGTGATTGCCTAGTCATTAATGATAATAATAATAATAATTCTTACATTTGGTATGGCGTCTTTTATGTTGGGAAGGTGTCTCAAAGCACTTCGCAGGATATTATGAAGCGCGTGTGTTTTGGGGGCAGTGAGTTTACGCACAATGTCCCACAAACAGCCATAGAGTGAGTGACTCACTTATTTGGTGGTGGTGGGGTGGGGGATTGTTGGCCAGAGCTCCAGGAGAGAGAAACATCCCCCCCTTTTTTTTGGAATATTGTCATGGGAATTTCAACGTCCCTCTGAATAGCAGAACCATAACATCTCAAAGTCTCAGTGTGGGGCAAACTCTGCCTCTTTATCAGATAACTTCCCACAGATGGGGATAATCCAGGGCAAGGAGTCTTGTGTCTGTGGTATGGAGTTACTGTATACCTTGTGGGAACATGTTGAGGGACACAGTGGAGCTCCCTCCAAACTATGGTGGTGGCAGACTTGCTGAGTGCAACCACCAATGGCACACACCGTTCCCCACGCTATAAATAGGCCAATTACTTAGGAATTGGATCGCAGGGCTGCCCTTTGCCTTGCCGTGCCCACGTCCAACGTATTTCTAAGACAATAGTAGCACAATCTGTTGATTTTCGGAACAGAGCCACGCATTCTTCAGCTCCGCAATGACTTTTCGACCACGATTCTTTTAGGAATCTAGCAAAAATTATTTTAGATCAATTATTTAATGAAGCACGAAATAGCAATTCATTTTTTTTTTGCAAATTTGATACCGTTCTCGCTCCGAGTACAAGTTAAGGTCAGCTTTTCCGGTATTTGTTAAAACGGGATTTCTGGATTAAGCTCGCAAGAAAATGTCGAAGGGTCCCATGGCACTATTCGAAAACCGAAGGGAGTTTCTCCTGCTGTCCTGGTCAACAATCCCCCAAATAATGGATCATCCACTTCATGGCTGTTTGTGGGACATTGCTGTGCGCAAAATTGTATGCCCACAAAACACACACTGTATACACTATATAGTTTATCATGTGAAGCAACGACAACAAGATTACATTTGCATAGCGTCTTTCACGTTGGGAGGACGTCCCAAGGCGCTGGACAGGGTACAGCATTTCAGACCCGAGCTGGGGTCAGGGAGGGAGAAGGGAGGGGAAAGGGGGTGGCCAATGGCATGGTCGAAGAGGACAGTCTTGAGGCGGGACTTGAAGGAGGCTAAGGAGGGGGCGAGGCGCAGTGACTGGGGGATGGAATTCCAGAGGTTGGGGGCAGAGTAGCTAAAGGCTCTCCTGCCAATGGTGGGGCAGGTGGGTCACTTTGAGAGACAGATGCAAAGGTCTCTATACCCAATGTAATGATTATTATTAATATCATTATTATGAATTAAGAAAGAAAGGGGAGTTGTGTAATGAAGCG